TCTGGGAGTTGAAGTCCACACATCTTTAAGTCACCAAGGTTGAGAAACCCTGTGTTAGAGAGAACTCCCATTCAGGCATTCCAAGAGACTTGCTAAGGGCCCAAAATATACAGTGATTTCATTGATGCCAACATTTCCCCCACATTTTAGATCTTTCAATCGTCACAGGCTTGAGTGCAAGAGGACAAGCTACATAAGCTCTAGAAGGGCATAAATCCATCCAGTGATTTGCCTGAACACCCAACCTGTGGACTGTGGAGAGAATGGGGCCATGAGTGCTGCCCTTCCCCGAGTCTCTTCAACCTCACATTTGGGCAGCGTGCCCAAAGGGGAACTGCATCTGCGTTGGCTCAAACTGAAGCATGTGTCTATGCCCAGAGAGAGAATTTATATACTGCTTCAATCCTAAAAGGGCTCTGAGTGGAGTAAGGAATAAGAAACACCAATAATACAAGAACAGTGCAATGTAGAGAATGAAAGCTGATCTGTTAACCTCCTCACATACCCTTATCTGGCACTAAGAACTCCACAGCTCTTCAGTTTTAGCATCCTTCCAGATGGCCATGAGAGCAGGAACCATCCTTGCCTTGGTGGGCAAGCTGATCCAGGAGAGAAGGACCTACAGAGACTGCCTGCCCCTGGGCCTCCTCCCATCCCTCCTCTTGACAGGTGGGGGCCCTCAGCAGGCTTTCCCTGCCTGGCCAGACTAGGAGGGCAGAATCCATCTGGGGAAGGCCTGCCACGTAGGGTTTGATAAGGGAGAACCAGCACTTTGAACTCCACTTGGAAACACATTAGAAAATCCAGCTCTTGTGTTGTATTGCACTATTAAGACTGTCCAGTGAACATACGGATGGACCATTGCATTTTGCACCAATTAAAGTCTCCAGGTAGTCTTCAAGGACAGCTCCATGTAAAGCAAAATACAGTATACTAATAAAGAGATGACAAGGGCATGGGTGACCATCTTCAGGGCCTCTGGTTCTAGGTGAGCCCACACAGCTGAACTAGCTGAAGCTGGGCAAAGGTTCTCATGGCCATGGCCTCCATCTACTCTTGCAGGAGGAGTTGTAAATCTAAGAGAACCTCAGGTTGCAGGCTACTCTCCAAGGGGGAACACAACCCCATCAAAGGCTAAGCACACAAACCACCACCCCCAGCTCCACAACTTAATAAATATACCTACCACTTGTACTTGTGAACTTCATATTTGTACAGATCATCTGTTAGCCTGTATTTGTTAGCACTAAATGCCTTGTAACCTCCATGTGTATAGATGGACTTGGAGTTTGGGTCATACACGCTGCTGTGGCCATACCCTCCTTGGACCAGGGCTCCTTTTGTTTGTAAAATGCTCCATGTGTTTGTTGCTAAGAGAGAAGGAAAGGCAGATATGAACAAGCTATGCTTAACTTTCAGATACCACAGATGCTCAACCAGACAACTGTAACTTGTTCTCCAAAGATGACTAGATTTCAATTCCTACAATCCTCAGTTATGGCAATGTTTTAGCTAGTTGACTGGAGATCATGGAAGTTGAAGTCCAATTTTAGGTTTGAGAAGGCTGTAACAATATAATCATTTCTAACAATACAATTTATCTTCCTTAGTACCAATATCCCTCCTTGTTTTCAAGTACAAGTAGTCCTCACTTAACAACTGTTTGTTTAATGACAGTTCAAAGTTACGATGGCCTCAGAAAGGGTGCTTTACAGCCTGTAATGCACTTCTGGCCGTCATAAAATGTTGCACTGCCCCCCTGCGGTCACACGACTTCCATTTACGACCGATTGCCAAGAGTCCCACGGTCATGTGATCACCATTGGCAATCTTCTCTGCCGGCTTCCCCAGAAAGTCAGTGGGGAAGCCGGCAGGGAAGACTGCAAGCAGAGGGGATGGAGAGGAGCTGAAATCCTTCTGCAGGCTGCAGGAAAAGAGCTCAAATCTTCAGGTTTTGAGCTCCATTCCTCCAGCCCCATGAAGGATTTCATCTCCGTGCATGCAGCTCTTTTGCTCTGTCCACTTAACGACCTGGGAGATCATTTAACAACCGCAAGTGGGAGTGCCCGGGTTGCAGTTGTTAAGCGAAGCAGTCATGTGGGCATCTTGCTTAACAACCATGTCACTCAACAATCGAGATTCCAGTCTCAATTGTGGTTGTTAAGCGAGGACTACCTGTAAGTAATTTCTCAGTAATTGCTTCCTAGCTAGAGAACACATCAATGTCTACATATGGATGCTAAACAGAAGTTCTATTCCTACACACACACACACACCCAAGCTAAACTGGATGTTAAAGAGCTAACATGTAAATTTAACACATACCATCATTAAGATTTGTGTTATGTACATACAGTATATATGAATGGTTATCTACCCTGAGGCTAGGAGATTCAAGGACAAAATTCAACAGTAGTTTGAATGTACACAAAGAACAGACATCAGCTCTGCTCAAGAGGATTTAGAGTCCATATCAGATCAAGGAGACCGAGATGGAAACAATGAGACCTGGAAAAGGCAAAGGAGTACTAAAGATCTGATATGGAAATGTCCACAAGGTGAGGCTAAGGGGTCAAAGGAGAAGCCATAAAAGAAATTCAACTGAGGACGTCCAAAGGAAGCATGCAAAATAATAAATTAGGGGATTTGGCCTTGTAGGTGAGAGAAGGCAACAAACAAGGAGGGAAAGAGGAAGAGAGCCAAGCCACGAATAATATGATGGGAAAATAATGGAGTCTAGATGAAGGAAGCATCATCAATAGCTGTCAAAATGGTCAAGGAGGACTTCTGAGGAGGCAATAGGACAAGCTGTAGGAGGAAGGGGATTTTGTATGTAAAAGAAAAGGTAGCTCCTGTGAATATCACAGGTCTTCACAAGAGTGAAAGTCATGCCAAGACAAGACTCACCTAGATTGTATTCTTGCACATTGCTGATGTATCCATAAAGAGGGCAATGACCAAAGAGGACGAGCATCACCACCGCACCATCCTCCAGGGTGACAATGTGGGCTGAGTGGCCAACCACAGCATATTGCTCCTTGGCCTTTGGGATCACAGGAACCCAGGACTGGTTTGCGATGTGGAACACCCAGAGCTCACTAGTTACATTACCAGATTCATCTACCTTGCCTCCATACATGTAGATTTTGTTCTAGAGACAACAGAACGGAGAGGTTATTTATGTTAGATTTATATCCTGCCTAATCACCAGGACTTCAAGGGGTTATACAGAGCATTCCATCCTCCACTTCTCCCACACTACCATTTGAGGAAGCTGGCCTGGTAGAGAATGACTGGCCCCAAATCACCCAGTAAACTTCCACGGCTAAGTCTGGACTTGTACCTGGATCTTCCAAGTCCTAGTCCAACCCATTAAGCATTCCATCACATTCTTTCTGAAAATGAATTCAGAAGCTCATTGCAATGAAAAAGCTACTCCTGCATACACAATGGTAACTATTAATACAATCCTTTCATAATTGCCAATACATATGAAGAACCACTTAAGGCCAAATAAATAATCCAGATTCAACCTCATTTCCCTCCTTACGAATAAATATTGGCATTTAATAGAGAGGCTGAAAAATGTCAATATTAAGGAGGACAAGAACCTATTCAGGTATTTCTGTTCCTATTGCAAGTTTATTTAAAAGGATGAAAAAGAATTAAGTTATTCACAAAACCTAAAATTCTCATCTTTAATGCTGGGTAGAGAGCAGAAACTGATCTCTACAGGAAATAAAAGGTTGGAGAAACAAAATTATATCCTGTTCTAGGTGGTGTTTGAGGCCCTGCAACAGTAATTCAAGGACAAACTTCTTCCTGCCCCACCCCTGTGATGGACCAACAGCTACCTCTGTTAATTATAGAAGTCTTTATTTTTTTCCCATTTCTGTCTTAGGTTCAATCAGATCTGTAGCTTCCCTTCCTTATCCGTTATCCACCTCACTCCCTTATATAAGGACTGCTTTCCACCAAACTTTTCCCACCTTAGTTCTTCAACCACCTGGAAAGGAAACAGCAAAAGGTTCTTGTGATTACAGATACCACTGCCTTCTCGCTTTTACCCAAGACAGGATTCAGATCCAAGCCAAACTAGAAGAAGAGTCCCAAGAACGTAAACAAAAGCCACTTACTTCATGTAAGGCTATTGAATGCCCATATCTGATCCCAACGGTGTTCACAATACTATTCAGGGTCATCCATTCTCTGGACTCAAGATTATACCTGCGCAATAGAAAGGACAAAACACACTGGGGTCTCCTTTTGCACTTAAGAACAAAGCTGTTGTTCTCACCACACCAACAGAGAAAACAGGGGAAGCCAAGTGAAAAAGCCAAGAGGTATTTATGGATGAGCCTACTATATCAATAAAACCAAAGCTGATTTAGGCATTAGCTATTCTGCTCCTTACAGCAAGGCAATGGTTTGCTCTAATACTCAAACTATTCATGGAGGGAACAATGGAAACAGGAGGACAGCTTTACTCCATTTGTTTAACCCACTTGGAAATCATTCAAGGTAGCAAATGAATAAGCAGCATCTTCTCTAGAAGTATTTTGTTCTTGGATTCAGTGGTCTTAAACCACTATACGCAGAAGCACATGGACTGCACCTCAAAGACAATAGTATCAGTTTTATAAAACCCTACAGAGCCAGGAAACCGAAGTTGTCAAACATTCACATGATTTATTTTTTAAAAGAACATTATTCCCCCTTTCTCCTCCAAAAACAAATGACTGCAGTTCACCAAAACAAAACAAAACAAAAAAACCCTACCAGGGACAAAATAATCAATGATCCATCTTCAGATTACCATATTCAGCACCAATGAGGTAGAACACAAGAGCCAAAAAAACACATGTTGGATGAGAAAAATCTTCACCTGCTGGCAGAAATGGTGGGAAAGACAGCCTGGTCTCTTAAAGAAAGGAGTGCCACAACAGAAGCACCAGAGCAGAGACAGCTGTTTTGGGGGCCATCACCTGGACTGCTTCGGAAGGCAAAATTGTGCAAAAAAGAAAGGGGGGATTCATTCCTATGAGAGTTACAGATGAAAATGAGGATTAGTAGTTGGTTGCAAGGAATATGCCAGAAAACCCACTGAGGATCAGAGAGAAGAATAGTGAGAAACTTTCTCCAACCAGATGTTCCTTCCACCTCCAGACTCCTTAGCATATACTGCTCTTGGGATTCTGGGAGCTGAAGTCCAACTCAACTAGAAGACACCAAAATGGAGAAGGGTTCAAGATAGGATCATATTCTCCACCAACATTTTAGACTGGCCAGTTTATTTTACCTTTTGCAGCTACTTGATGATGGCTTGAGGGATTTTTGATATTGAAAACTTCTGTTTATATGCGCACACACAAGGACAACTGCTATGAATTGCTAAAAATGATCACAATCTTATCCCTTGTCAAGAGTGAAGTCTACATTGCTAACAAGAGTGAGCCCATAGAATGAATGGGAAGGAATCCCACGCCAAGAGGTTCAGGTAGTAAAAGAGTTAACAAAGAATCAAGTTGACCTGTCAGTTCAGGTAATGGGCAGAGACAATGGAGTCTCTAGTTCTTTTACTCTGGAGATACATAATAAAGACTTACATTCTTAATGAATCAGCGATGCTCATTCTGGAAAAAAGAGATCAGCCTCCTGTCTGGTTGTCTACTGAATCATTTGCCTCCTCTCAAGGAAACCAGGGCAGAGAAGGATTTTTCTGGGGAAAAGTAGCTGGGGACAGCATCACCAAGGTGTTTCTTCATAGGATCCCGTGTAATAGGATTGTGGGTAGAGGGTTTGGATACCTCTAATGGGAGGCCCTGGGGCCCAACCATCATATCCCATGTGTGTGTGTGTGTTTCTACACCCCATTACACTCCAGCCTCAAGGAAAAGGCCTCCATACTCAGCTCTAGAGTCACTATCAGCCTGGAGATCAACAGTAACACCAACTATGCCTGATGTCAACCACAGATTCCAGATGACGACAGTCACATCTCATACCAACCACTGGTCAACTCAAAATTTGTTAGCTTGACTAAAGGATTGCCCAGGAATGAGTTCTTGTTCATTAGTAAAAGCAGCAACAGGCCCAGATAAAAAATCATAGCCATTGGAGCCCTTATAAACTTGGATTTTAATATTTACCATAAAGAAGGCCATGCTTCCATGTGGATGGTTGAAAAGAGGAAAGCATGTTGAAGTCCCCTGTCCTGTCAATGTTTGATAGTGGTTAAAAAAAATCTAACAACTGACATATAGTTGACATATAAATTCGAATAATCAATCAATCTTCGAAGAAGCCCCTCATTCATACTATTGCTGAAAAAACCACATGACAACAGTGACCGCATGTCACCAGGAATTCTTTACTTTTCTAACTTTTACGAGCCAAAGCCTTCCCAAAGGGGACAGAAATTCACACTAAAACCAGTAGTGATACAAAAACTCATTACTAGTGTATAGAGTTTACTAGATTAATCTACAGAAATTCAATTATTCCTCACTTAAAAGTTGTCTTTAACAAACTCATTTTACTCACGCCAAAACCATTTGAGAGTCCGTATGATTGAACATGTAGCCACCAACCACCCACATGACATCATCTTGGACCACGGCTTTGTGAGATGCTCTTGGAAGTTTGGGGATATAGAATTCCTCCCGAGTCCAAAAGGAGTGATTTGCTGGAACAGGAACTGAGCAGTCTACACCTATGATGGGCAAAACACATCATCCATTACAGCCTCAGACATCTAAATATAGCACTGTACTTTGCTAGCTCACTTTTAGAAACAGTTAAAACATTTTTAATAAAGAGTTGAACACGAGTTCAAATGATCATATACTGAATCCAAATACAGGTAAACCTCGCTTACCAACTGCCTTGTGCAGCGACCAAAAGTTACGTTCAAAGTTACGACGGTGCTGAAAAAATAACTTTGTGACCAAGTCATGCGTTCACAACCTTCACAACACCTCTCTCTCAGTCACATGTTTGCCATTATAGTCAGTACATGTTATCCTGTGCCTGACCCATTTTTTTTCTTTTTCCCCCCTTGCAGAGCAGAGAGATTGGAGAGGAAGGAATTATAAGAGACTAAGCGGGCACCCAATGAGGAATACACATTGAAAGGAATGTGCTAGTGCTGGCAGCCACAAACGCGCTAGGCAAACAGCCAGTATATCCCCCATTGGGTGCCTGCTTACTCTCTTGTAATCCCTTCCTTTCCAAACTCTCTGTGGTGGGGGGGGGAAGGTTCAGGCACAGGAGAGACTGCCTAAAGAGACTGCTTGTTTGGAATGGCACCAGGGCATTCCTTTCTATGTGTATTCCCCACTGGGTGCCTGCTTACTCTCTTGTAATCCTTTCCTCTCCAAAGAATACAAATACAAACATTAATTTCCTTCTTGCTAATTATCCCAGCACTGGAGGTTGGCATTCCAAAGGGCAGGGGAGTGGGGGAAATCCAAAGTTTCAGATCCCTATAGATAATCCGCATTTAGCGACTGAGTTGCCAGTCCCAACTGTGGTCGCTAAACGAGGACTAACTGTAGCGAGCTGAAACTTTGGATTCGAGTCTCTGTAGTCTAGGAATTACTGGTGGTCAATGTCCAGAAGGAATCTGGTATCTCCTTTTCAGCTCAGTTCAGCTGACTTCATCAGATACACAGAGGGGCTGGACTGATGTAGGATTTCCATGCATCTGGTAAAGTGAGCTGAGCTCCCAAAACCTCCTGCCTTTTAATAAATTGGGTTAGTCTGAAAAAGTGCTACCAGACTCCTGATTTTTGGCTGCCATAGGCTAAGCATCTGAAGGCATCAAATTTATCACAAGGGAGCATTTACCTACCTTGCCAACCAGAATAACATATACAGCCCTGAGTTCCATTCTCACTGCACTGCCCCCTTTCAGGGAAGCCACAGTCTTCTGGGCAGTTGGGAATATCGCAGGCCTCTCCTTTCCAATGCTCCAAACATTCACATTCAACCGCTTGGCTGCCGTTCACAGGCCGGCATTCCCCTCTGCCGGAGCAGTTATGGGGGCACACGTTAAAGCTGCAAACAGAATTCCAAGATTCAAATCAATGGTTTATTTACAAGCCTCTGGCAGGATAGCTGGGCCTGCAGCATAAGAGTTACTCCTTAATTCCAGTTAATCATGTGATTATACACAGATGGTTAAAGAGTTCAAAAAACTTCCTTTCCAACAGGGTTTCCAAATGCTGTGTAAACAAAAATACAAGCTGCAGCTACCTAGATTTTGTTTAAATATAAAGAAAAAACTTTCTGACAATAAGATCGGTACCACAGTGGAACAATCTACCTCACAGGCTGTGGGTCCTCCATCTCTTGGGTTCTTTAAGAGGCTAGAGAGCCACCGCTTGTGAATGACTTAAATGATTCTCCTGTGTAGGGCAGAGGGCTGGACTAGATGATCTTTAGAGCTCCTTCCAGCTCCACAATTCTAAGGTCTTATGAAAATATTCACTCTTCAAGGTTCCGGATGTATGCCTAGAAAAAGTGGCATGCATGGGGCAGCAAAATAGGTAAAAAGCATGCCACCACATCAAGGGCTTTCTGATATAGGGAATCCACTAACCTCCATGAGATAATAAGATCATAAGAACTTAAGCAGTGCCCTGCTGGACTGGACCCCTGGCCTATCTAGTCTAGCAGTCTGCTCTCACAGTGGCCAACCAACTGCACAAGGATATCCTCTAGTCTCCCAGCAGATGACCTTCAGAGGAAGTCCCACTGCCATCAAGGTTAACTCCCACTGATCCCCAAGACTTCCATGAATTGGTCCAACCCTTTTTTGAAACCAGCCAGGCTGGAAGCCAGCACCATATCTTGCGATAAGCAGATTTTCAGAAGAAACTGTAAATTAAGTCCCCTCCCATGCATTTACCCATCCTATTTCAGAAGGCAATGAAACACTCCCATGAAATATTCTGGACTGAAGCCACCCAGAACTTCTCAGGAGCAGCGCTATGACCGGAAATAAATAAGAGGCCACCTGTGTGCAAAGCCCCAAAGAAGGAAGTAGTCCATGAGATAGGCAGCCCACTATATTTGGAACAATTTCTGAGCACTCTTTCAAAGGCAGTCTGGGGAGAGGCAACTTCAGGCGCTCCAACGTTGCCGAAGTAGAAACTCCTGTTTTCCCAGCCAGAATGACTGATGGTGAGAAATATTCAGAGTTTGATTTCAGCATCTTCTAAAGGACCAGAGTGTCTGCTGCAAGGCTAGTGCAATCTGGATGGCCTTAAAGCAACTGGGATTAGATCCAGAGTTGGGGATCAGTAGGAACTTCTAGAACAGTGTTTCTCAACCTTAATCATTTTAAGATGTGTGGACTTCAACACATCTTGGCTTGGGGATTCTGGAGTTGACGTCCACACATCTTAAAATGGCTGAGGTTGAGAAACACTGTTCTAGAGATCCACCATGTCCAGAGAGACTCTTCCCTCAACCTTGTTGAGTCAGGAGAGTTCAGGCAGCAGCTATAAGTGGATTTATTTCAATCAAAGCAAAGAAGTCTAGCTTGTGCCTTGGCAGCAGAAACTGTTGCTTGCAGTTCCCAAGAATTTCAATTAAGACGATTTCAGTTGCAATTTCAGTTCTGCCAGCCAAGGGAGACATTTCTGGCCCAGATGGAGAAACTCTCCATGTCCTCTGGACATGGTGGACCTCTAGAACAGTGTTCCTCAACCTTGGCTATGCCGAATTACTTTGATTGTGACATTCTGACCGCCACCACAAGGTGGTGCTGCTGTTCCTACAATTTCAGATGCTGGCAGGGTTTCCCCGTTGCATACCCACAACACAAAGGGCAGTTGCATTTCCTTATTTGAGTTTGAATTCCCCTTCTCGCTTAAATCAAGTCCAGTCACACAGAGTGACACCAGGATATCCTGTGTTCCAGGACTGGTGCAAGGCTTGTCAAGTTCTGTATTATTTCTGGGTTTCAGAGGGGAATATCCAAATCACCTTCCCTCTGTTTTCTGAGAGCTGGGCTGAAGGGAAAAGGGCCAGGAAGAAGGTTAAGAACCCCTCTTTGGACAGGCTGGGGGTGGCAGACGCATGGGGAAACCCTGAAAAGAGGGGGTCTGCCAAGAAAGGTTTTCAGTTATATCCCTCCTCCCAGGCTGTAACAGGGGAACAAAACTGGCTGAAGATGAAGAAGGAAAGAGAGAGTGAGGCAGAAAAAATAAAAAATAAAATAAAATAAATCAAATCAAATCCTAGGAAAATAGTTCCTTTCTTCTTGTTTTTAAGCAGGAATGGCCTCTCTCGCCCATAAATCCTGTGCCTCTTTGGATCATATAAATCTTTTGCCTTTTTTTCAACAGCTCCTACTCTCAGCAACATTCACAGGTAATTATTTGGGGAAAGGCCTCTCTTCTTATCATCACCTGCTGCATTTAGCAGACAACCAGCAAGCAGCAACAGGATCTGCAGCCGAATATCCAAATCCTTGCGGAGTGGTAGCTATTTTGGTACCACCAGTTATTCAAATTCCCCCCCAAACCCAAAGGAATTGCCCTCCAAAGTGCTAAAAGTAAACTCAAATGATCTAGGTGGCTTCCACGAATAAATAAAGCACGCAGATGCACCCATCTGTGACTCTTCTCTTTCCCAGCCGCGTGAGCTTTTCTGATTCTGATGAGCATCTTTCCACACCCTGGCCAGAGTGTCACCTACGAGAACACTATCCATGCAATTTTAAAATCTTTCCTATAACGCTCTTTGGGTGCAGGAGCGCCAGCTTACTTGTAGGTGATGTTGAACCCCGTCAGGTTGTAAGCTGCGTCACTGAAGAAGTGCAGAAGAGCGTAGCCAGAGGTGGCTGCAACTTCAGGGACGGACTCGTTGCTCTCCCGCTCAGGGACAATCAAGCCGCTGGAAGAAACAAGATCACGATAATGAAAATAATAATTTGGTTACATTTATATGCTGCCTGACTCCCAGCAGCTTTGGGTGGTTTACAACTGCTAAAGCATTTAAAACAAAGAATGACAGGGGGAAAAAACACAGAACCACAACAATGGCGAAGGAAACAAACCCAGAGCAGAACAGAAAGGATAAAGGCGGCGTCCATCGCCCTCTCCAAGACCTGGGGGAAGAGCCAGGTCTTTAAGGCCCTTCGAGATACCAGTAGGGTGGGCGCCATTCGAATTTTGGGGGAACCACCAAAATTGATACTGATACTGCACTGAGGGGAGGAAGAATCATTAAGACTTGGCCCCCAAGGCGTATTTATCTTCACCACCGAGGAACAGCTAGAAATCAAGATGTATGTTTATGCAGTTTGGGGGCTGGGTGCCTTCATACAGCCTTGTTAGTCCCTGCTTTTTATCAATGCCATAAAGTATGACTTAATGGCAACCATTTACACAACCGAGTGATCCCCCTGGTTCAAGATCTGAGACCTCAGCTGAAACGTGCCAGAAAAAAAGATCGCCCCTTAGCATCCCAGAGAAGCAAGTACACTCAATCGTCGTTGTCCGTGGGGGTTACGCTCTTGAAAACCCCCGCAGAAACAAAAACCGTGGTTATTGAGGCGTGAGAACCTGCGATCTATTATCAGAACCACGGGGAGACTTGCTAACCCAACAAGAACAAGAACGCCGTTTCCCTTGGTGTAGTTCGTGTCGACGTTGCGGGGTAAGGTTCTCAGACATTTTTCCCTACTGTGCATGGCCGCGTATAGCTGCGTTGAGACCACGTTGGATGAAAAACGGGTTACCCTTTTTAGAAGCGTGTAAGCGAACCCGTGGAAACAGAAAGCGTGGATAAGGCGGACTGAGTGTATATCTTGACATTTTAAAACTGTGTTAAGACTTATAAATAGGAACCCCAAGTACCTGTCTTGCTCGAAAGAGTGAATCAAGACTATAGTTACGGTTCGGCAAAATATGTAATCTGGGGAAGTATGACGAAGCCCAACACAAGTAGAGAGCATCTTCCAATACAGGACTGTTCTGCTTGTAACGCCATGAGCAATACATATGCACAAAGCCTGAATGATTAATTCAGGCTGATTTACCCTGGCTGCAAATTTTCGGCTTATCCAAGCTTATCGCTGTTACAATTATTAGAATATGAGAGTGGTTTGGAGTCCAAATTACCATGCGATCTAAAAAGCTGTATCCAGACCTTCAATTGGCACTAATGTTATCAATCCAGTTCAAAAATGTTTTTATGCAACTCCCTTCGATTTCTTGGTGAACAGAGGAGGGTGGGAGTCAAATTTCTTGCAGGTGTTAGTACTGCTCCTTCTCTGCTGTATATAGTTTAAAAAGCATGTTTCAAGCTTAATCTCTAGATCAGTGTTTCTCAACCTCAGCAACTTTAAGATGTGTGGACTTCAACTCCCAGAATTCCCCAGCCAGCCTTCTGGGAGTTGAAGTCCACACATCTAGAAAGTTGTGTGAAGGTGTCTGATAAGACAAGAAAGAGTAACATGCAATTTCTCTGAAGAAAAAACACAGCAAAAGCAGTGGCAGAAAAAGAGGTTTAAAGGAGAAACCTGGGGAGCTGAGGTACAGTAGCGTGGGATGAAATTGGAACATGGTTAAATGTTAACATTGATATAGCTTTCAGCTGAAAGCCTTTTGTTTTAACATTCCTTTGACAATAGCAGTTACTGTGTGCCCATTTTACCGATGGGGAAAGAGAGAGGTCTCTAGCAGCTTCCAAGCTGAAGTGACTGCAGAATGACTCGGGTGAAGAAAAGCACTGTTTTAAAAGCGAAGTTGGAATAACTGTGATTGTTTATTTTCTTCTGGCACTCAACGCTTCCTACAGAGACCGCCTGATCAATTTAGAAGCTCTCCTAAAAAACACAAGTGCCCTGAAATCACCCACACAATTGGTAAATCCCAGGCTCAAATCCCGGGCTTTGCTATGTTCGTGCCCGACCACAAGTGGGCTGTTTATTTAATTAAAGTGATTTTGCTGTATTCTCGTAAAACAACATTTGGTTGTTTGGACTTGGATGATCTGGTCTTGGGCTGCTATAAAATGTCAGTTTGTGTATTTGCTCGTTCTACTGCACTGCCGTCAGCAGCTTCCATTTCAGTTGAGATTTCAGCAAGATTAGAGGTAGAATCCCAGCGCAAGGGAGACCATCTAGCTTGTCTTGGCTGATTTCAGAAAGAGCTGAGTGGAGTCAAACCAATTAGGATTTAGATGGGAGACCCCTGTGAAACCCCAAGGTTGAAGGTTAGATTGGAAAGGACCAATCCATGCAGAATGCAACGGCAAGCTACTTCATTCTAATGCCAATTAAACGACACGGCTGTGTCCAGAGAGCCAACAGAGTGTTTCCATTTTTTTCAGGGGCAGAAAGGAATCCAAGGTGCCCTAGAAGATGCCCATTTGAAGAGCTCACCTTTAGAAATGGGTACAGTACTGCAACAGACACACACTAATGGCTTGCTTGACTACAGAGAAACGCACACCTGTATTTCCTAGGAAAGGAAAACCTAAAGCAACATGAGAACATGATCTCTCTCTCGTCAGTTCTGGGCTAAGGACAGAATGTTCGCCCTACTTATATAAAATCCCCTTGAAAAATAATATGGACTTTTCACGAACCAAAGGAATGTTCCACTTAAATCACAAAAAACAAAAATAAAGAGATCCATGCCAAACGCTGGATAGGCGGCTCCTCTTTCGAGCCACTGGTGACGTCTCAGGGTTGCTCCAGGCAAGGGAGCAGAAGCAGACAAAGGCAAGGTCTCCTCCCAGTCAAGGGACCTCATGGACCCACCTATGGCGCTTTTCTTGAAAAAAAGGGAGTGCTCTACCACTGCCTTCTTTGGGGCTTTTTTCTGACTCTCCAGCCTAGCCTTGAGAGAGCTGAATGTTGGTCTCCCATCCAAATACTCATCAGGTCTGAATCCGACTGGCTTCTTGGAGAGCAACCAAGGTTGGCTAATTGTTGCCACTTGCTGAGGAAAGGAGAAGCAAATACCGGTTTCAAATGTTGGGTACGCATGGGTTTCTACCTAATCATGTGTGAATGGATGACTCAGCTTCCTATATAAGGCAGGTCCCCTTTCTTTCAATGGGAGGGCAGTGTCCTTGGAAACATGAGAATGCTTCCTCCAGCTGCTACCTTCTACTCTGAAGTCTGTAAGGAACAAAAGCTGTAAAGCAGTGTTGTCCAAACTTGGCCACTTTAAGATGAGTGGACTTCAACTCCCATGCTGGCTGGGGAATTCTGGGAGTTGAAGTCCACTCATCTTAAAGTGGCCAAGTTTGGACAACACTGCTGTAAAGCAACCATCCAAACGTGCTGGAACTCCTAGAAGATCCTAGCCAACAGAAAGGAGTAGAAAAGGGCTGAGGAAAGCAAACCCTATTACAGTTTAACAGCTACTTCTTGGCTTTCTGTCGGATCCCTCAGTTTTTCTTCCCCTTGCTCAGACACCTCAAAGCAAACCTCACCAGGTAAGAAAATATTGATGATGAATTAGTACAAGGGAGGCCACAGACATGCAAAACTCAAAGAAAACTGACAGGCCATCTCCATACAAGAGGCCTCCACTTTTCCACCTGCAACTGCTGGGGAGGAAAGCAGGCATGCCTAACTGTCACACGATTCCCATTTAGAATAAGCAACATCACACCTGCATAGAAGCACAGAAAAGGATTCAGAAATAGGAAGCCAGAGAAATTAAAGACATAAGAAAGTGAAATGTAGCTACATCAGATTTCCACCAACTCCAACCACTTTGCCTCTCTGCTCCCTTCTAGCCTTACAAACCACCCGTGGTTCCATCATGCTTCATAGGTTGCCTTTTATTCTTTCAACTTCTCAACTCTTCTGATGGGGTCTCATCGACTCTATCCAACCATGCTTTTCCTGTTCCTCTCAGCCCATTCATTCTTCCTTCATACATTTTTTGAGCAATTTGATCCTCCTTCATTCTCTCTATATGACCAAACCATCTCAATGAACTTCTCCCATGCTGGTCACTCACTTTTGTGTCCACATTCATTCATTCTTGATCCTCTCTCTTCTTATATACTAAATACTCCTCTTTAATATCCCATTCCCTCTGCGTTTAGCTTACGTGTAACGTTCCTCCAGTGGTACCTAAGTCTCACCTCTGCACACAGCCATTTTGACTTCTTTCAACTTCATTCCTTCTTCAGGCTTCATTCCTGACATCAGACCATATCTGCCCACCACCTTATACCAGCATTTGCACATTTCAGAACTTTTCCATCCATCTTCCCATCCTTAGAAAATGCTCCACCAACATTTTCAAAGCTGCCTGCCATTCTGATGTAAATCTGGGTACGTGTTTTCTGATTATTTTTTTTAAAAAATCTTAATGGCAGGAACTTTCGTACTTGCAGGATCCCCGCCTGAAATCCCTTCCCCCAACGGCAAAGCTTCTTCTGCTCCACACATGTATATTAATTTTTTTTAATCACAGGAAGCTAATTCTGGTGGAGGTCATCCCGCTAAAGCAGCACAGTGTATTTGCAGCACTCTGTGCCTGCTACTTGAAAGTCAAAACTTCATCACAGCTTAATGAAAAGGGAGCCCAACTGTTCAATCTAGGGAGAAACGAGAACAGCAAGTACTTTGTTTTCACATCACAGTGCAGCTCCTAAAGCATCTGCACTGCGTTTAAGTCACTCTCCACAGACAAACCCATTGTGCTCACAAAGTTAACCAGCAGAATGCTGGCAGCTAGATTTCCAGTATGAATTCACACCATACTAGCAAAGGATTGAGAGGGGAAATTCCTGGAAGCACTGATTTTGCTATTTTAAAGAGCCACAAAAGTGTTCAAGAGCCAATGTGCTGTGGGTAGCTTTGGACCTCTGAGAGGAAGTGTGAGGACTAATGGTGAGGTGAGGAGAAGCAAGAACAAGAGATTTCAAGCCACCTTAAACATCACAGCCTTCACTCTGGCTCCAACCAGGATTGCCTCTGATGCCACAATGTTGGTTACCCATTAGGAGCTGCAACTGAACCAGCTGTGTCAGAACTATGAGCTGACTGCTACTGTGGGATCGCCATCCCATTACAACAGGGTAGGTTTCTTGTCTCCTCTTCCGTCTGTTTAGCATTGTGTGCACTGACCTTTACAGTAATTGTTTCATTCATCCTTAGAAAGCCTGAATTAATATGGCAACATCACAGAACTACTACCCATAAGGAACAGAAACCACAATGGCATGAGGGAAATAGAGAATGGAGGTTCAGAAATGGCCAACAGCACCACAGTCAGGGTTCCATCTGGGATACCTTGGTGGAACAACTACAACAGAAATTAGATGAGGGAAATACAACCCTGCTGATGCTCCTTGCCCTCTTGCCAACCATGGTATTCTTCTGTGTTACCTGGGCAGCTCCAGCTTTGGGGATATTGTTTCATAATGGTTCCAATCCTTCCTGCCAGGAGATGCCCTGAAGATGGTGCTGGTGACTACTGCTCCTCCAGGTCATTGAGCTAAGGAGTCCCCCTCTTGTCCCCTAAGATATTTAGTTACGGTTATTCAGAGCATTGGGAGTGATGCCAGCCAGCTCTATCATCTCACCATCTAATTCCAAGAAAGTAATCGATACCCTTGAATGTTGCTTAAGTTCCATAATGGGCTGGATGTAACTGGGAGGTGCCTGAAATCTCCGAGGGGTTGGCATACAAATTTTACCGAATTACAGTATTAAATAACTGAGAAGAAGCTCATATTAAATTCACACAAGATGGAAGTGCTGCTGGACTCAGGAGTTGAGATGAAGCCTGTTCTGAGTAGAGCTGCACAGAAAGGAGGTTGGAAGTTTGGTCATGCTCCTGGACACTTGAGTGTCACCAGAATGTAACGGGGGGCTGTGACAAGCAGCACCTTCACACAACTAATGACCTTTCCTGAATGGTTGGATTAAGGCAATAATTATCCATCCTGTAGTTACAATGAATCCCGACTTCTCCAATGCACTTAGTGTGGGGCTACCTTTGAAAAAGTCTCAACATTGCAGATAATGCAAAATGTGTCAGCCAGGTTGTTGATCAGTGCAAGGCAGAGGGATCCTAGATTCCCATACTAAAGTACCTGCCCTACCTATCTTCCACCGAAGATGTGGGGGTTAACCTTTAAAACCCTAGGGAGTTCAAGGCTTGACTGTCACAGGGCTTGCTGTCCCATTATAAACTTGCCCAGTTTCTTCACTCAACAGGAGAGGCCCTTCTGAAGGCATCCCCATTGCCGGAAGAGAAGATGGCCTTCTCTCTGCAGCACGCTAGGGAAATTTTGCAACTGGGCCCTTCTTTACCAGTACTGAGGAAAACAACAAAACCACATCTCTTACCCCAAGTTTTTAGCTGTTCATTGATTTTCATAATATTGATTTTCCTGTCTTGTTTTATTGTTGTTTTATACTTTCCACAGGGTTTCATTACTGTAAGCCTATGATGGACTGCTTATATAAGCAGAAAGGCAGGGTATATATCGAATACTAAAATTTCCAGCCATGTTCACTATCCCCACTACCCCTTATCCTTTACTTCTCAAATCCCCTCTTTTGCCCTGTTGAGCATCATGGCCCTCCCCAACCTGGTGCCCTCCAAAGATGCTAGGCTGGGTTGGTTGAATATTCTGGGAATGGCAGCGCATCTGGAGATCTCAGGTTGGAGGAAAGCTATTTAGACAAATCCTCTTAAAAAGCGTTTAATTTCCTAAGGATCGGATTCAGAGTCCACTTTACACCTTTAAGACCTGCGCATCCAGGCACTTGGATCTTTAAAGCTTATCTACCTGTAGGACAGAAAGCTTATGAATTCATTCAGCAAGGGCTTGAATTAAAAATACTCTCTGCTGACATATGTTGATGAAGATTCTTAGTCATCCAGGTGGAATTATCTGGAGGTTGAGTCATGGCAACTGGCAACTTTTCTTTTGGTTAGATACGTTTCACTGCTTCTCCAAGCAGCTTCTTCAGTCTAGAAAGTTTGCTAGGGGCGTGCAGCCACCCCAGAAGACATTTATGGGGTCCCCCCCCAGCCAACTTTCTAGATTAAAGAAGCTGCTTGGATAAGCAGCGAAATGTATCTAACCAAAAGAAAAGAAGTCCAGTTGCCATGACTCAACCTCCAGATCTCTGCTGCCATCTTGGCTTTGTTCAGCCCTAAATTAACTTTATTTAGATTTGTTCCATTTTATCTGGCAGATGTCAAAGTGAACGAGCTCAGGCAGCCAACCTCTCAAACAGCAAGTAAGAAACTACTTTTGAATACCAAGAACGTGCTTACCCCGAGGCAATAACTACCTTCCAATTTGTACAAAGTTTAAAATAGTTTGGTAGATGCTTGAATTACTCAGGGGGCCAATTAAATTCTCATTAATCAGTGAAGTAAATAAAAACAGCCAAGCTGTATCAGGTTCATTATACCTGTACAGATGAAAATGCAACTCTAAACATCTGCAAGACTTTTGCTCGTACCTAAAAAGAAATGCCTACTTTATTCTGTCGGACAAACCCCATGCCATTTCTGAGCAAATAAACTATGTCCAGGCACTTAACATCTCCCTTAAAACATAAAAATAACATCAAGCTGAACCCGAATGCATGCCTTTGACCCAATCTTTGACACAGGAAGTGTCTACACACAACTAACTGGCGAGGGGAAGAAATTTCAAGGGCCTTCTCATAAAGATGAGCTTATGGTGAGTTAATCACATGCACCAACTGCTACCCCATTAGAATAGCCAGCTAATTTTGGGATGAACCTGGGTTTCCAAGGTAAGCTAGCAGCTAACTTCTTGGTCCAGCAGCTGATGGACATGACAAGCTCACCACAGGGTGAAGGGTATCAGAAGGAGCTTTCTTCAGCCTGGAACCACCGGATGTGTTGACCTATACCACTCAGAATGTCAACTGAGCTATGGCTACCACTCAGAACGTCAAGGGTAGCTCTGGCTACCCTTTCACGGTGCCTGGAGGCTGTAGGGGCCTAGATGGGGGACAACAGGCTTCAACTGAACCCTGGTAAGGCAGAGTGGCTGTGGGTACAGGGAGCCTCAAGATCTAGGAGTTTATCATCTTTGGTTCTTGATGGGGTTGCACTCCCCCAGACAGACCCGGTGCATAATCTGGGGGTCCTGCTAGACTCACGATTCCTGTTCAAAGAGCAGGTGGCAATTGTGGCTAGTAGGGCCTTTGTGCGACTTTGTATTGTGCATCAGTTACACCCCTTCCTGGATCGGGAGGCTCTCCACACGGTCACTCATGCCCTGGTCACCTCCCGGTTGGATTACTGCAATGCGCTCTACATGGGGCTACTTTGAAGAGTATCCGGAAGCTACAGCTGGCGCAAAATGCAGTGGTGAGGACAGTTCTGAATGCCCCTGGGGGGCCCATATAATACTTCTGCTACACGAGCTGCATTGGTTGCCAGTTTGCTTCCGGGTCCAATTCAAGGTGTTGGTCATCACCTTTAAAGCCCTTCATAGTACAGGACCAGGTTATCTGAGGAGCCATCTCGCCCTGTTACACCAGCAGAAGGGGCACACTGCGGACCCCACCAGCCAAGGAATTTCAACTGGTGGGGTCTAGGAAGAAGGCCTTTTATGCCGTGGCCCCCGCTCTGTGGAACAACTTACCACCTGAGGTGCAGTGTGCCCCCACTCTCATGGC